GGTGAAAGATAATGACAGACGGCTAAGGTGCAGGAGTCTGGGAGGGGGCCCAGTTTGGAATGGACTCACCTCCAGGCACGCTGCCATGCTGGAAAGGGAGGAAAGCTCAATACCTCACCTGCCCCCAGAGCAAGGACCATTTGTGCAGCAGGGAAGAAGTGGCCCAGCAGAAGTCCTGGAAGCAGCCACCGACCTACCAGCTCATAGACAGAGGACTGAGTGAGTAGATCTACACCCTCTGGGCCAGTTAAGGAGAAAGATGCACTCTAGTGGGGAACTGGATTAACTTTCTTACCCAGGATTGTTTAACACTGAAGTGGCATGTATTGGATCCCCTGCCCAAGCATTCCTTCAGACAGCTGGATAGAGAAGGATTATCTGGAGTCTGGGATGGTACACCAGGAAAGGCTGGATAGCTCTCCAAGAAGAGGATTTTCTGTCTGCAAGGACTTGTAAATAGTTCCAGGAAGTTATCCTCAATTGAGTTCCCTTGGGCATCCCATGCACCCCTTACCCCATCCAAGTTCCAAACCCCTAAATAAAATCCCAAACAACAAGCTCAGGGACTGGTTACTATCTCCTGGATGCAAGTCTGTGAGAAATGCATGTTGCCTGGCTGTGCAGGACTATAGGGGGATCCAAATCTCTAGGTACTCCTAAGGGGATAGTGCTACTTATCTATACACACATAATTTGCCTTTCATTTCTATTTTAAACTGAATGGTTTGTTTTACAAGGCGAGGGTTTTCAACACCTTTAAATACATTTGTCTGCATGAGCCCATCATCCCTTACAGTGATCAGTGGCTGGTAAACAGTGTAACTGATTCCTTCACTGTGAATGGACAGACTGGACACAGCAACAGAGCATGCACAGAATCATGTGCGCACTTATAAGAGTGTGAAGAATGCCTTCACGATATGATTGTATTATTCTACTTAAAGGGTTTGAAATGACTTGCTCTATTTTCTGGACAAAGCGGAATACCCCTTTAGTTAGACTGAAGGCACTTCAGCACATGTAAATGACCAGCTCACACATTGCTGTTTTTATTTTTATAGCTGTCTAGACTTCGATATAAGTTAAATCTGGTTCACGAATGTCGTGAAAACGGAATCACAAATTTACATTCACGTATGGAATTCTGTAACTATAGTCACAAAGCATCACTGTATTTGAGAATTATACTCTACGGTCTGAAGGGTTTCATTTAAACAATTATATATTAATATAAATAACTGTTCAGCACATGGGGAAAATCCAGTTGTTCTGAAGTCAGTCTGAGTAAGCTTTCTCAACTAAATTTGAATATCTGGGTTAAGAAAATGTTTTTTCATAACAAGAAAACGAATTCACAAAAATGTTCTCATTACTGGAACTAAGTCAGCTTCTTTATAGTGTGTTCTGTGTGTGATACGTACTTATAAAATGAAGTCTGTTAAGGAAACATGATTATACATTAAGAGGACCTGAACTCTGCAGGCTGTACATGGAAAAATACAGACAGAGGGCAAATGACTAATCACCAGTACTGCCTATTGGTTTCCCTGCAGCTGATTTTTGTTCCCCATTTTCTGACTTGCCATGCCTTGTTCTACACTGTGTCTCTATGTAGAGGTTGCCATCTTAGCAGAGGCAGGGCATTGCTTCCTCATGTCAGAGCCTCCAGCAAAGAGAACAGTGAGCAGCACAGTAATGACAACACCAAATATCACTCAGAATCTCCTAAAACTGTAGGCAAAGTGGGGGAAGTACTGTGTTGATGTAGTTCCCCTGGTTCCCACTAGGTGGCACTGTCTACAAGCATGAGATATCTGCAGTGTGGATGCAGAGTGGTCATTTATTAACCACTTCAGCTCAGGAAGGCTTTACCCCCTTAATGAACAGGCCATTTTTTATTTAGCACTGCACTACTTTAACTGGTAATTGCGTGGACATGCAACGTTGTACCCAAACAAAATTTATATTGTTTTTTTCACACAAATAGATCTTTCTTTTGGTTGTATTTGATCACCACTTGGTTTTTTATTTTTTATTATATAAATGAAAAAAGACTGAACATTTTGACAAAAAATTCAATATTTTTCATTTTACTGCTATAAAACATTTCCAATAAAGAAATGTTGCAAATCAAATTTCTTCATAAATTTAGGCCAAAATGTATTCTACTACATGTCTTTTGGTAAAAAAAAATTCCAATAAGTGTATATTGATTGGTTTGCTATGTTATAGCATCTACAAACGATGGTATATATACTGGAAGTTTCGTTATACTAGTAATGGCAGTGATCAGCGACTTATAGTGGGACTGTGATAGTGTGGTGAGCAATCAGACACTAACTGCCACTGGGTGGGAGCTGACTAACTGCCACTGACATCTTCATTGACACTAATATGGTGTTCAATGATTAATACTATACACTGTCACTGTACTTATGACACTGGCTGGGAAGGGGTTAACATCTCTGGTAATCAAGTGATTAAATGTGTGCCTAACAAGTGTTAATGTGTGTAATGTGTGCTGCTTTTTGCTAAATATCTTTGTTTCTTCTCCCTTTGCAGGGAGAAGGAAGAGAGATCTTCCCCTTTATACAGAGCCCTATGTTGATTGTCAGCACAGGGCTCTAGGTTGTGATTGGACAGGTGTGATGAACCATTGGCAGGGACCTGCTGATAAACTCCTGCTGTGTACAATAGTAGTAGATGGGCGTCAGAAACAGATAGTGACATGCATAGGTACATCTTTATGCCTGTACATGCCACATGTCCGCAGTACTTTGTGGGTAGGTAGTCTGCAAGTAGCTAATTTATTCCACCCCAGGTTGCTGGAACTTCTCCATGCTGGTCATTATTGTTGCAGGAGGGGTATAAAAGGCCAGGAGAGTGGAACTAGGACAATGCCCTCTATGGGAAGAACTAGCCTACAGCGAGGAGAGATATAACTTATATGGATACATGGATCCTGGGGTAAGCTTGGACAAAGGGCACTCAGAAGGGGGAGGAGCCAGGAGCGTTGGCGGGGGACATCAGAAGAGTAGGATCAAGGCAGCTCTGTGCAAAACCATTACAGAGCAGGTAAGTCCATGTGTATTATTTAAAATAAATACCTTTACAATCACTTTAAAGCAAAGCTCCACCCAAAAGGGGAAGTTCTGCTTTAAACCGGTTCCCGCCCGGCCAATAGCACAAAGGCGGCGGCAAAACACCTCATCCCTCCAGGTGGACATCATATGGTGTCCTTTCAGGCCTGCGCAGTGTGTCTGCCCACAGGGCCGCTCTGCGGCGCGATCTGTCACCGGCCATGTACCTCAGACACGGCCGATGACAGATCTGTGTAACGGCCCCATTTCCAATAGCATGTGACCAATCACAGCAGGTCACATGACAGTTGTATACAATGGATGGCATCCATTTCAAGTGTGTTTAGCTGTGAATGGTCACAGCGATCACATGCACAAGCTGGGCCAATCACAGCCCAGCTGTGTCATGTGATTAGCCGTGGCCAAATCACAGCTAAGCACAAAAAAGAAACCCTGAATGAATCGATGTCATTCAGGTAAATGCTTGCTTATAGCAAAGTAATTCTTTGCTATAAGCAAGTTGTGTAAAAAAAAAAAAAATACTGATCACTTCCCCTAAGTAGTACAATGTTTCTATAGTAACATTATACTATGTTGGTCATAGTGAAATATGAAAAAAAATCTTTAAAAAATGTAATAAAAAATTAAAGCTAATAAAAAAAAAAGTATATTTTTTTTTACATAACATCACCAGTCAGTGTTCCTGATCACCACCATGCCAGTTATATGATGACACTGTACTGCACTGGTGACAGTATGTAAAAAAAAAAAAAGTGAAAATAATTTTTTTAATTTTCCAAAAAATTATGACAAAAAAATTACAACTTCAAAAAACTCGCCATGCCTCTTATGAAGTACGTCGAACTGTCTACTTTGCAAAAAGTGGTCATTTGGGGGATATCTGTACTGTTCTGACATTTTTGGGCATCAAGACATTAGATTGGCTGTTAGTACTTCAGGATTGATCAATATTCAGATCTATACCATAGTTTGTGAACTCTATAACTTTCCTACAAACTAAATAATAAATACCGATTTGGGTTATTTTCACCAAAGACATGTAGCAGAATACATCTCGGCCTAAATGATGAAGAACAATTATTTATTTGCAAACTTTTATAACAGAAACAAAGAAAATGTGGTTTTTTTTTCAAACGTTTCGGTCTTTTTTTGTTAATTTAGCAAAAAATAAAAACCCCGGCGGTGATTAAATACCACCAAAAAAAAGCTCTAGTTGTGTGAAGAAAATGATAAAATTTTAGTTTGGGTGCAGTGTTGTATGACCGCGCAATTGTCATTCAAAGTGTGAGAGTGCTGAAACCTGAAAAATGGCCTGGGCAGGAAGGGGGTAAAAGTGCCCGGTATGGAAACAGTAAAGACTGGTCCCCAGCTCCCCGTTAAGGATTGGCACCTTTGGGGAGCAGGGGGGAGGGGGTACCTGAAATTGACAGGTACCCGCTCTCACCTCTGCGGTGCGGAAGCAGAAGTTGTCCTCCCTCCCCGTAGTCGTCTGGGACATGTGACAGGTCCCAGAAGACTACGGGCCATTCACAAAGCTCAGTACTACTCGCACATGGGCAGTGGGCACCCGGCTGTGAAGCCGCAAGATGTCACAGCTGGGTGCCCACACTGAAGATGCCAGTGCCGGGGCCACCAGAAGGCCGGTGAAATGGGCTACGGGGGGGACACCGCAGGATCGAAGAACAGGTAAGTGGCTGTTTTTTAAAAGTCAGAAGCTACAGTTTTGTAATTGAAACTCCGCTTTAACTAATGAGTTGCCTATGTTTTGGGATCAGCACACAAATAAGCATGCACAATGGATTTTTACTGTTGGGGGGAGGGGAAGAAGGTCCATTTTAACATATCTAAATGTTCTCTATAACAGAGTAGATCTGTAAATATTGTCTAAATACAAGAGTCATGTGTATTCTTCCTTGAATCTTGATGTGCTTTGTGTATTTCTGCCAGATCTGTGCAGTAATCCGGAGTAATACTCTGCCTTTTTTTCCCGGAACTTCCTGTAATAAAGACCAGTCACTGCTGCTTTCCCTCCTTGTGCGGGGTGACTGGTCTTTTCTCCGCCTCCTCCTGTGGTTTTCTGCTGGCAGCCTGTAGTGGGTGGAGCTGATGGGCCCCTCCCCCAGCTCTTCTGTCTGCAAAGGCTATGTACAGCACAGTGATGATGTCACTGCTGCTTTCACAAAGCAATAACTGGGTTTGCAAAAGCATTTGGTGTACACAAAGTGGATTTATTTCCTATGGGACTCTTAAGGGAAATCTTTTGTGTCCGTAGTTCAAGTTTCACTTCAAGTAGAAGAAGCCTCAGTGTTTTAATTCAGACGGATCCTGACAACTCAGTAAAGGAACACGGAATGGTGTGCCTGATGTTACCCAAACTTTATTGAGTTTGAAAGATTTTGTTCAGACGCAAGACTCCCATAGTCCTTTGCAGCAGGCTCTGGCCAGAGTTTTGAAGTCTACCCCGAGAGAGGAAACACCACACCGCTTGTTTGATCCATCAGGGAGCGTTTAGTTTTGTCTTGACCCCCAATTCAGCACATTCTGCTGCTCCTAGTCTATGAATTCCAGGTGGTATGAAAAATGTAGCAATTACTCCACCAAATGTTTTTCATTCACAAACTTCCTGATTCCCTTGACTGATGGATGACTCATGTATAGAGTGTTCCAGAAATGAAAGATCACCCACAAACACAACATTTCTTTATGTGGTATTTTCTTTTTTAACTTTTATGTGTTTAATTGCTTAGACATTTTTGTTACGTTAAAAACTCAGTGATGCAAATAATCGTTTGTAGTTTTTGTGCCTTTCTTTACAAACATAACATAAGTAAGCACAAATATTTGCTGAGGGTTCATTCACACCAGACGCACTGAGGCACATTTGTGAACGCATTCTCAACGCATGGTAAAAAACAAAATAATGGTTCCCTTGGAATGCAGTTCACACCAGTGCATTGCATTGTACTTGCCCAGTGCTGAAAAAGTACAGCATGGACTACTTTTTTCAGTGTAGAGCAAACATGGCGCATTCGAATGCATGTGGACAAATGTGCATAAATGCAACACACTGCATGCTAAACAAGAAAAAAAACAAAACAAATGCAATGCATGTAAAACACACACACCAACGCATTACAAAAATTGCAATGCACCCCAATTCAATGTGCATGCGTTGTGCTGTGAATAAGCCCTGAGAGTAATCATTTTAAAGCACAAGTAAACCCAATCACCAATGTCTCATATCAGCTTTCAAGTGTTACTAAACCCACAACAGTCAAATCAGTCTGTATATGCAGGAAAGCATGCTTGTTATACTCACTGTGGAACCTAAGGGGTTAATCCTCTGCATTGTGTAAAAACACTGTTTGATCCTGTCTTCTCTGATCCTCCCCTTCCTCCAGTGCCCCCCTATTATCTCCTGATAAGACATATGGTGTGGAGTGCACATGCTTAGTTTGGTGTGTATTGCTAGAGAGGGTGTTTTTTTTCTTGGGAGAGTTCATCTGATCAGCACAGGGCCAGTCAGCAGTGTCCAGACAGCAGAATGAAAACTCCCCCTACTAGCTTTAACCAATGCTCTGCTGGACACTGATAGAAGTCACAAGACTGCTCTAACTGCTGATGAGAACAGGTATTTATTTAGCAGTTTGTATTTACTAAAATAATTTCATTTCCATGTTGTGTGTAGTGTGGGAGACCAGATATAGTGAATGCAGGTCCTGGGTTTAGTAACACTTTAAAACATTAAAGTGATATTAAACCCCCAATGCACTTTCGGGAGCTGATTTAATCACATACTGAGTATGCAGCTTCTATATCTTTTTATCCTTGCCTATGATCCAGTTGAAACTGGTGCCATGACCACTCCCCCAGGTTTCTTGTTTTAGGGTGACTCCTTTCTCATGCAGCATTCTGTAGAGCCACTCTTGAATGCAGGGAGTATTGTCTCACTATATTGTGTGCACTAATAGAAACAAACAGACCCATAGCCTAGGATGGCAAGGCCCCCGCTCCTTGCTCCTCTTACCCCCTCTCTTTTCCAAACTAATAGATTCTTCGGAAACTGACCTGTCCACTGTTAACTCTTTTCTGCACAGACTGGAAGTTCAGAGAAGCAGCACTGAGATATCAGGAGCCAGCAGCACTGCAACTTGTAAACAATTTTAAAAAATTGTTTAAGGAGATTGTTTATTTTGCTCAATGTGTTAAACAAAAAATGCTGAGCGTTTTTAACTACGTTATTGTCATTTCAAAGTTGCTTCCAATGTTTTACATTTGGGGTTTTCATTATAATAATATCTGGCGATCCTGCCATTAAGGGCTTGTTCACACATGACTAGCTCTTAACAAACACAAAAAAAACACCGTTAATGTGTGTTAATAGGTGCGTTTGACTTGCACTTAACACGCATTAAAAAACACTCCCCCAAACACCCTATGTGCATTTTTGGCACGTTAAAAAACCACACCACAAATACCTATTTTTTTTTTTTTTATAAACTGTAATGTTATTAACGCACTGCAACTGTGCTGCAAACGTGCCGCACATGTATTAGCATTTGTATAGGAGTTTGAGGAGCCTTAAAAATTTTCCCCTCAAACTCCTGCTTTCAATGCCAGTGTAAACAAGGTCTAAGCTGGATTCTTGAAAAAATCCACCCTTGCAATGGCCCCCTTCCTCCGCACTGCAGGGGTTAAATGCTTGCTGAAACCTGGTACACACTTTAAGTTTTTTTCAACTCAGCGGGGCCGAACAAAAAAAAAAGAGGTAGCTGTACTAACTATTTGATGTTAGAACAGTGGTCTCCCCCCGCCAGAACACTCCGGTCAGCACTCGCAGCCATTGGCTGCAAGCGCTGATCGACTACCGATCGGCTGCTGATTTTCAAGCATGCCCATTTGATAGGAGCTGGTCATGGGACCGACTTCTTTTGTCCAGGTAGCTGTACACAAAAGTCAGTTGGTTTCTACTGCAATGGGTGACTTCGGCTGATATTCGGCCCGTGTGTACAGGGCTTAATTCTTGGAATAGAGGAGAAAGATTGTAATACTTGTGCCATTCCTCACTACAGCAGGCTACTCTTCTCTCCAGTGCCCTGGGTTGTGAAGGGGTCTTCAATGACGACAGTGTGTGACCGCCGACTGGAGAGGAGGCTTCGGGAGACCAGTCACACCATGCAGAGGGAGTCTGTGAAAGAGAGGAATAAGGTATTCCCCTAGACTTATCAAGGATTTAGGCCTATTCACACCAAGTGCACTAGGACTGCATTGGGCACTTATTACTATTATTATTATTATTATTATAATACAAGATACAACAGTTGGCACAGCGCTATACAAAATGAAGGTAGACATTACAGTTACAATACAATTTGGTACAAGAGGAAACAGAGGGCCCTGCTTGTTGTTCCAGAGCAATCCCACTGCAAGACAAAGCAAAATGCCTTGTCTCCTACCTAGCCAATTCACACCACCATGTTGCAGTGGTGTGCACTGAACAAAGTACAGAATGCAGTATTTTCATTTAGTATAACACAGTGGATGCAGTCCACTGCCACACACACCGCACTGCGGCTAGTCATTAATACATAAAGTGATTAATCAGAAGGGTCAAAGACTGGAACATGCAAGAAGTCATGGAGAAGATGCCAACGCTGCTGTAGCACAATGTGGGTGTTGGACTATTGGAGCATAGGTAAGCATTTGTGCCCTTAGTACTGATTTAGGGTTGGTTCACACTATAAAAACACAGTACAGATGTGTTCTGGATGCATTTTTTGGTTTATTTTTGATGCGTTTTTGACACGTTCCTGTGTATTTTTGATGGGTTCCAGTTCATTTATTCCCCTCTCTTTTTCTTCAATTTAAATAGGGACATGTGTATTACAGTGCATTTTTGGATGGTTCCAATGCGTTCCGGTGTGTTTTTATGCTTTTACCGTGTTCCAGTGCAGTTCTGTGCAGGAAAAATGCAGCCTGTTCTACTCTTTTTTTCCTGCATCCCGAACGCACTGGAACTGCAAGTACTGATGTGAACTATGACATTGACAACCATATAACCAGCTCTCTGTGCATTTTGGTTGCAGAAAAAAAGCACACTGAAATGCATGTAGTGTGAACTGGCCCTAAATGCAGAGTTCCATCCAAAAGTGGAAGCTCCACTTATCTGCCTGCTTCCCTCCCCCACTGCCACATTTGGCACTTTTTGGAGGGGAGCAGGTATCTGGCTTTGACAGGTACCCGGTTCCACTTCTGGCTCAATTCACTGCGGTTTACTGAGATGGAAGTTCGTCCAGCCCCCCACCCTCTTGCAGCCCTCTGGGACACTTCACCCTATCCCAGAGGACTGCGGCCCATTCACAAAACGCAGCGCGCTTCATGCATGTGCAGTTCGAAACTGGCTGTAGAGCCACAAGGCTTCACTGCTGGTTTCTCTTAGTTAAGATGGCAGTGCCAACACCTGACAGGCGATTGAAGAATTGGCTTGGGGTGAGGATACCACAGGATCCCTGGACAGGTAAGCGTCCTTATCGCAAAAGTTAGCAGCTACAGTATTTTTAACTGCTAACTTTTAAACTTTTTTTGGCGGTGGGGGCTGGAACTCCGCTTTAAGGAAAACGGTAGTGATTGGACACGGTTTTCTGACCTTTGTAAAAATGCCCAGCAATGCTGTGTATAACCGACTGTGCCCAAAATGTTTCTCTATCTGCTAGAAAGAAAGATGGGCTGTGCCCCTGTGTGACTTCAGTCTGTGTAAGTAGATCTCCCTGCGATTCAGGAGCTGCTTCAACGTTTAAAAATGTAAGATTACAAAATTAAACCTTAGATGATCTTTGCTTAGAATAAAACCACAAACTGATGTCTAAGGAAACTCCTGAACGTGAAACCAAATTTTCTGGTGGTGTCCATGTGCAGAGCTCAGTGAATACTTTGATTTCAGTAGGTGTCACTGTTGTCAGCATTTTTAAGCAGGATTTAGATACAAAGTAATCTGTTGGTTTGAGTGCTATTTCTAGGAAACAAGTAAAGAAACCAAAACCTTAGTAGCTGTCCTTATATCTTAGACATCCTGTCGTTATTTGAGGCCAAACGACAATGTATTTAAAGCTGAACTCTAGGTAGATATAAAAGACACACATTATTGCAACTCTGCTATTAATACTGCATCACTAAATCTATTTTTTAAATCCAAGAAGCATAAGTATTTGAATTTGAATAGCTATCAGCCTTTTGCAGTC